AAAGAGAGATTTGATATTAATTGCAAAATCATCGTAAATTGGATGTAACATCACGACGAATATATGACGATCTATATCCGGTGTACATTTACAACGATTTTACGTCGACAAAGAAGGTAGGTGAAGAACATTTAAAACATGTTTACCTAACTAATGTCGATGAAATATTTGATCGCATAATCGACGTAAAATCATCGTAATATGAAGGTTGGATGTAAAAGCGATGTAAAAATTCATCGTAAAAGCGTTGTAAAGTCCAAAATTTTGTTATAAATACATCTTCATACCTTCTTTCATTCACAACACATCATCATTCAAACATAAGAGCATCAGCACCTTAGTATAGTGTTCTAAATCCTGATATATTGGGTTCCATTGCTGGAAACCCGAATTAGTAGTTATTTCTTTGAGAAAAAGAAGTAATAATATTAAAAGGTTTACTCCATTCACGTGGCTACACGTGAAACAAGAGACCGTCTCTTTTATTGTCTAATCAATAAAAAGAGATAGTATTTTTAGTTTATTTCAAGATGTCTATATACGAGCTAAGAAGCTGGATGTATATGCGTAAAGATTCAGATGGGGCGTTGACAGAAGAATTCAAGAACGGGTTAGAAATATTCATGTATCAGGCCACAAATATGGAGAGAACGAAAGATAGCGGGAAGATGTTTTGTCCTTGTTTGAAATGCAAGAAGGTCTGTCTAAATTATCGTTGGCAGCTAGGACGATGTCAATTAAAACAGATCATAACCTGGCTGAGGTTTGCATTGATGATTGGGCTGATCTTCTGAAAGAGTATCTATCGGAGGATAACTTGGCAGCGGCAACATACTATGAAATACAGAAGTTGATTTTTAGTCTTAGTCTACCTTCTGAGATGATAGATGTATGTGTTGACAATTGTATGATTTTTTGGAAAGATGATGATCAGCTGGAGGAATGTCGATTTGGCCAAAAACCAGGATACAGGCCGCAAACTGGTGGGCGTAAAAGGATACCGTACCAACATATGTGGTATCTCCCTATAACTGATAGGTTGAAATGGCTTTATCAATCTGAAAGGACAGCTGCATCAATGAGATGACATGCATAACATACCCAAGTAGATGGAGAAGTTGTTCATCCATCAGATGCAAAGACATGGAAACACTTCAATATGGTATACCCAGATTTTACTAAGTTCAAACGGAATGTCTATCTTTGTCTGTGCACTGATGGTTTTAGTGCATTTGGTATGTCTGGTAGACAATATTTATTTTGGTCAGTATTCCTAACTCCTTATAACCTTCCTCCAGATTTGTGCATGCAAAGGGAATTTTTTTTCCTAAGTATTTTGGTTTTAGGTCCCAATCATCCGAAGCGAGCTCTCGATGTATTTCTGCAGCCACTCATACATGAGTTGAATCAGTTACGGTATACCGGCGTTCACACATATGACTGTTCAACGGGGAAAATTTTTACTATGCGGGCTGTGCTTATGTGGACAATAAGCGATTTTCCCGTTTATGGTATACTATCAGGATGGACTACACATGGGAGGTTATCTTGTCCTTATTGTCTTCATCGAACTGATGCTTTTCAGCTAAAACATGCTAGAAAAACCTGTTGGTTTGATTGTCACCAGAGGTTTTTACAGGATAACCATCCATATCGGAAGAACAAGAGGTTATTTAGGAAGAACAAAAGTGTACATGTCCATCCACCCGTAAGTTTAACAAGAGCTGATATACATGCACAAATCGAGCATTGGGGGGCAGAGGAAACAGTAACGCGTGGGGGGAAACTGGTACACTCCTGCAAATATGCCTGAAGATTATGGAGTTCATCATAATTGGCACAAGAAAAGTATCTTTTGGCAACTACCCTATTGGAAAGATCATCTGCTCAGACACAATCTTGATGTCATGCATACAGCTATGAACATAATGGGAAGAACAAAAGGCAATGGTAAGTCAAGTTTGGACTTGCCAGGTTTATGCAACAGAAGTGAGTTGCATATACTGAGAAACGGGAGAGCACCAGTTCCTGTATTTCGGTTGAGTGCAGATCAAAAGTCAGCATTGTTCAAATAGGTTTAATCTGACGTTAAATTTCCTGATGGGTATGTTTCTAATCTTTCTAAATCTGTTGAGAAGGGGGTAAAGTTTGCAGGGATGAAAAGTCATGACTGCAACGTGTTTATGCAATGATTATTTCCATTTGCATTTGCTGAACTCTTGCCCAAAAATGTCCATGAAGCTGTTGGAGGCATTGATGCTTTTTTTCGGGATCTGAGTACACGAACATTATCAGTTGATGTAATAGCACAACTGGCATCGAATATTCAAATCTTGTTGTGCGAATTGGAAAAGATCTTCCCGCCATCATTTTTTGATGTTATGGAACATCTTCCTGTTCATCTCCCTCACAAAGTAGAGCTCGGTGGACCAGTTCAGTACAAGTGGATGTATCCGTTCGAGCGTTTCATGAAGCATCTTAAGGGTAAAGCAAAAAACCTAGCTAAAGTGGAAGGTTCAATTGTGGCGGGAAGCTTGACGCAAAAGACTTTGCACTTCACTTTGTACTATTTTGCACCGAAAGTACGAACATGCAAAAGCGCTACTCGTCGATATGATGATGGAGGAGTTGGCCAAACATATGCAATTGAGGGTATACCTGACATATTCTCGCCGATCGGACGTCTTAGTGGAAAACTAAAGGAAGTTTGGTGGTCCAATGAAAAAGATTATCACAGTGCACATACGTATATCCTGCTAAATTGCGAAGATTTATCATGTACGAGAGGTACTTTTTTCTAGAAGAAGAATATATATATATATATATATATCTGTCAGTCTTAATTAATTATTAGTTGTTTTTTCAGCACATTCGTTGATGAGGTTAAAGAATGCATCTCTGGGGTTTCTGAAACTGAAATCAATGATCGTAAAGATCAACACTATGCCCAGTGGTTAAAAGCACAAGTACGTATAAAATATATATTAAAAGACTTTGATATATATCCAACAAATATGTTTGCATGCATATTTGCAAAATCAAGAAATTAAAGCAAGATTTTTTCTGATTAGGTGGACCCGAATGATCCAGATGAATTTCCAACATGGTTCTATGAGTTAATACTAGGTCTGATGGCAAAAATAACAACAGCTTCCATGTATTTCACTTGGGGCTATGTTTTTCACGAATACCGTCACGGTGCAAAGCAGGCGACAACTAACTATGGAATTTGTGTGAGTAGTGAAATAGATTTTTATGGAGTTCTGCAAGAAATAATTGAAGTGGAGTATCCTGGATTGTTAAGGCTGAAAACTGTTCTCTTCAAATGTGATTGGTTTGATCCAATTGTTGGAAGAGGGGTACGTCTAAACAAGTTTGGAGTTGTTGACGTGAACAAAGCATGACGGTAGAACAGGTTTGAGCCATTTATATTAGCTTCTCAAACGGAACATGTAACATTTCTGCCATACCACCGAGTTCGATCAACATGAATCTCATGGTTAGCAGTAGTTAAAGTGGCTCCGAGGGGCAAGATTGTAGGGGTTGAGGATGTTCCACTGCAACAGGAAACTTGCGTAGATCTGACTGAACCAGATGTTGATGAGGAGATTTTCTTAATTGACCCTCAGAATAGGCAAGTTGAAGATCTTCCCGATGATACAGAAGAAGAAGGTGATGATGAGTTTTCTGAAACCGATGATGACGATTTGGCGGAAGACGACGGTGATGGTGACGAAGTAATAGAAGAAGATGAATCTGATTGATTTTCATGCATGTTTTTAGTGAATGTTTGTTATTATGTAATTTGTAATTGTGTTTGTTTTAAGTTTTTTAATGATGAAAATATCGATTTTACGACGGTTTTACGACGATTTTTGTAAACCCTAAACACAAAGTTTAGGTTTTATACCCTGAATGAATAAGGTTTAAGGATTACGACGACTTTACGACCATCCGTCGTAAAATCGTCGTACGTTTACGACGATTTTACGACGCGTTCACAAAACCGTCATAAAATCGTACCGTCGTAAAACCGTCGTAAGCTTGAAATCCAAGATTTTGAATCTTTTATATCTGATTGGTTTTTAGCTATTTCCGAAATGTTTTTGATAGGTTATCTTATTTTATATGAGAAAAACATACATATTTACAACTTCATGCATTTTTTGTAAATGTTAAGTAAAAGGTTATATATTACATAAGATGATTTAAATATTTGTTATCTCATGTACTAAATCCGTCATACATGTAAAGTTATGAACCTATTGTTATATGTTAGTATAAAATAAGCTTTGTGTTGTCCTTTATGCAATAAGCCTTTTGAAAGATTTAGGGTTTGATAACTTTTTTTTAAAAACATCGTAAAACCGTCGTACAAGGGTCGTAACATTACGACGGTTTTACGACGAGTCATTAAATCATCGTAATGTTGATGACGATCATACATCTAACAGGCACCGGATTGGCTCCAGATCCGAGGTACGAGGTTATAAATGTTGGCCTATTACGACGGTTTTACGACGGTTTAATGAACATTCGTCGTAAAACCGTCGTAATGCTCAAACGCTGTGAACAGGACACGTGTCGTGTCATGCACTGGTACGATGGTTATACAACCAAATCGTCGTAAAATCGTCGTAACGTTACGACGATTTTACGACGATCACAAAATCTATATAAGGGACGCGAGTTTTCCTCCTTCGTCGCTCATTCCTCACTTCTCTCTCTCTCTCTAGCTCTCCCTCCTCTCCCTCCTCTCCAGCCTTAATTTGTAATTTTTTTTTAAAAGTTTTGTCATTATAATTTATATTTCGTTTAAATTTTAATCCTTACATAGATATAATTAGGGGATTTAGTTAGATTCGGAAATTAGATAGGCCCGGAATTTAGAAATAAATTCTATAATTAGTAATTATATTTCATTTAATTTTGTAGACTATTCAGATTGCTCTCCGGACAAAGAGGTTCCACTACCGGGAGATGGTAGATCCGGACGGTACCGCTCCGTCTGCCTCAGCTACAGGGTCCGTCATCTCGGAGTCCTCGGGAACATAACAAACGGTTTCACAACCGGTCGTTGTACCACAGCCAGCACCGCCTCCACCACCACCAGCCGAACCAGCAGCCCCAGCACCAGCCGCAGCCCCGGTACAGCCTGAACCGTATGCCCATTTCACGGTTCAGAATCTTCTACGCCAACCGGGTCGTCAGAGTATGAAGAAACTCGATCCGGATCGAGCCCCGGGGACATTTTGGTATGATTATTTTTTTCAAATTTTTTTTAAATTAGTAATATTTATAATTAATTGAAATATCTAACTAATTTTTTATTTATAGTGACTAAGTTTAGTACAACCCCATACCAGCTAGAAGAAACTGGATTAGGCAAATATTGACACTTGGTTCAAATGTTTCGTGGCAAGTTATTCAAAATTATGATTTATATTATTATTATTATTTTTTACAATAATTACTAACTCTTTGTTTTTCTTTTTTTCTAGCAAAACTGGCATTGGGAAACTTCCGCACACGGACGTGTGGAGGCGGCTTTCAAAGAGAAGGTCAAGTTACGCCTCAACAACACCGTTTCCAACTAGAAGCAGAAGTGGGAGGTCGACGGCAACAAGGCCAAGCCGGCGCCAATGGCCGATACCGTCTGGGAGGGTCTGGTGCAACATTGGTTGACCCCGCACAACCAGACTATTGCCGCCAAGTGTTCCACATCCAGGTATTTTTGTAAATTAAATTAAAATATGTGTTTAAATTATAATATTATATAGGTTTAATTGTTTACAATTCTAATTACTATATTTTTCAAGAACGCTACTGACGATGCGGGAAATCGAAAAAACGTCCCGCACACTTCCGGTCATATTCTTTTCGCTGGGAGACGACTTATGATGGTAATTTTTAAATAATTAACTCTAATTTGTCTTATTAATAACACTACAAGAAAGAGGGCTTTTCCGTCGAATTATTTACGACGATTTGTAGTCGTCGTAAATTTACGACGACATTACGTCGTATTTACGATGATAAAAAATTTCGTCGTAAATTCGACGTAAAAAATAACCCTCGTAAAATTGTCGTAATGTTACGACGATATTACGACGAATAAAGAATGAATTTTATTTCGTCGTAATCTTGTCGTAATATTTACATCGATAATACGACGAATTGTCCTCTATCTTGTAGTTGACGTAAAATCGATGTAAATGTGATGTAAATTTTATTTCGACGTAAATTTGATGTAAATATGCAATGGTAATATGTTGGTAACCAAACAAAAAATTCTATATATACCCTTTCTTCTCTCATTATTCCATCAACCAAAAAAACATATAAAGACACAAATTTTTTGAGTCTTTGAATGTTTAAATAAAATTTTTAGTAGTTGAAATTTCTATCAAATTTCAGAAACAAAAAGTCAAATATTTGTTTTTGAAATGTCTATATACGATCTACGAAAGTGGATGTATACGCCCAAAAATGGGGATGGGTCGTTGACTGAAGACTTCAAAAACGGATTGGAAATATTCATGTACCAAGCCGGCCTTCTGGAAACTGTAATTGAAAGCGGCAAAATGTATTGTCCTTGTGTGAAATGCAAAAATAGGAAACATATTCCTATTGACACTGTCTGGCAGCATTTATTGAATAGAGGGTTCATGCCCCAATACTTTATTTGGTATCAGCATGGAGAGGGATATGGTCAAAGTAGTGGTCAGATGGCTGCACGGAGTAGTAGTAATCATCAAGAACATGTGGATTTTGAAGCGTCCAATGATTATCAAAGTAGTCAAGTTCAGGGTGAAGATCATGATAGGATGCATGAAATGATTACTGATGCATTTCATGAAACACATGCTGATACTGTTGAGGAGCCCAATGCAGATGCGAAACGCTTTTATGATATGTTAAACGCAGCAAAACAGCCTCTGTAGGAGGGATGTAGGGAAGGTTTATCAAAATTATCATTGGCAGCTCGGATGATGACAATAAAAACTGATCACAATCTATCTGAAGTTTGCATGAACGATTGGGCAGATCTTATTAAAGAGTATTTGCCATATGATAATTTGGCTGCTGAAACGTATTATGAAATTCAGAAGCTGGTTTTTAGTCTTGGATTGCCTTCTGAGATGATTGATGTTTGTGTTGATAATTGTATGCTTTTTTGGAGAGATGATGAGAAGCTTGAAGAATGCCGTTTCTGCCAAAAGCCAAGATATAGACCGCAAATTGCTGGGCGTAAGAAGATTCCTTACCAACGAATGTGGTATCTTCCTATCACTGATAGGTTAAAAAGACTATATCAATCCGAACGGACAGCTACGTCGATGAGATGGCATGCGGAACATTCACAAACAGATGGCAAAATGACTCACCCGTCTGACGGGAAATCTTGGAAACATTTTAACACCGTACATCCAGACTTTGCTAGGTCTAAGCGAAATGTTTATCTTGGTCTTTGCACTGACGGGTTTAGTCCATTTGGTATGTCTGGTAGGCAATATTCATTATGGCCTGTGATTCTTACGCCATATAACCTTCCTCCAGATATGTGCATGCAAAGAGAGTTTTTGTTTCTAAGTATATTAGTCCCTGGTCAAAATCACCCGAAGCGGGCCCTTGATGTGTTTTTGCAACCACTCATACATGAGTTAAACCAGTTGTGGCATGTTGGAGTACGAACATATGACTGTTCGAGTGGTAAAAATTTTACGATGCGAGCGGTGCTTATGTGGACAATAAGCGATTTCCCGGCATACTGAATGCTATCAGGTTGGACAACGCATGGGAGGTTATCATGTCCTTATTGTCTTCATAGGACTGATGCATTTCAGCTTAAACATGGTAGGAAAACCTGTTGGTTTGATTGCCACCGTCGGTTTTTACCACCAAACCATCAATATTGAAGATATAGGCGTTTTTTTATAAAGAACAAATTGGTTCGTCTCCCTCCACCAGTGTACCTAACTGGAGTAGAGCTTGAAGCGCAAATAGATCATTGGGGTGGACTTGAAACGGTCCCCCTTGGAGGAAATTGGCACACTCCTACGAATATGCCTGACGGATATGGGGTTCATCACAATTGGCACAAGAAAAGTATATTTTGGGATCTGCCTTACTGGAAAGATCATTTGCTTAGACACAATCTTGATGTTATGCACATTGAGAAGAATTTTTTCGATAACATCATGCATACTGTTTTGAACGTCCAAGGAAGAACCAAAGACAGCGTTAAATCACGGATGGACTTACCTGATATATGTAACAGAATTGAGTTGCATATGGTGAGTAATGGGAAAGCACTTGTTCCTGTATTTCGGTTGGGTGCTGAACAAAAAACAGCATTGTTTAATTGGGTATCATCAGGCGTGAAATTTCCTGATGGATATGTATCTAATCTGGCTAAATCTGTGGATAAAGGACAAAAGTTTTCAGGGATGAAAAGTCATGATTGTCATGTGTTTATGCAACAGTTACTTCCTTTTGCGTTTGCTGAACTCCTACCGGGACATGTCCATGAGGCACTAGGAGGCATTGGAGCTTTCTTCCGTGATCTAAGTACAAGGACATTATCAGAAGATGTAGTTGCACAACTGTCTACAAATATTCCAATATTGTTGTGCAATTTAGAGAAAATATTCCCACCTGCTTTCTTCGATGTTATGGAACATTTACCTATACACCTCCCTCATGAAGCAGATTTAGGAGGACCTGTTCAGTTTAGGTGGATGTATCCGTTTGAACGATTTATGAAGCATTTGAAGGGTAAGGCCAAAAACTTAGCAAAAGTTGAAGGGTCTATCGTGGCGGGAAGTCTGACAGAAGAGACTTCTCATTTCACGTCTTATTACTTTGCTCCAAAGGTTCGTACACGCAAACGGGCTCCAAGACGTTACGACGATGGGGGTGTAGGACAAAGTTACGCAGTAGAAGGTGTGCCTGATATATTCTCACCAATTGGACGTCTAAGTGGGAAACTAAATGAAACTTGTTGGTCAAACGAACATGACTACCACAGCGCACATACATATATACTTCTGAATTGCGAGGAATTGGCACCTTACGAGAGGTACATAATTATAACCATGTATTATTAAAATTTGATTGAACAGACGAAATGTCCTTAACAATGTTTTAAAATTTCAGCACTTTCGTCAGTCAAGTCCGAGAATGCATTGACGGTGTTTCAGAAGATGAAATTAACAAGCGAAAAGACCAACATTATGCATTGTGGTTAAAAGGTCAAGTCGAGCATGATGACATGACATATGTGTTAGAATATTTAGAGACTAAGCGGAATAAAGAGATTTGAGAGAGTGTGCAAAAGAGATGAGAGAAAGAGTTCCCAAAGTAGTGTGTTTATTCATTCTCGTCTTTGACACATATATAGAGGAGACAGAATAGAAACTAGTTTTAGCTAAGCTACAATACAAAAGAAAGTGGTTAGACACATAAGGAAACATGTGAGTCTTGAGCATGGATCCCGAGAGATAGTGACAGCTCCAACGGTCACAAGACCAAGTGTAAACGACGCGCCAAGGGGGGACCATTGTACGGACACCAACTCTCTTCTTCCTTAAACATCACACGTGATCCCTTGAGCCTTCTCTCCTTATTAAAGGCTAACACCGATTCAAGCCCTAAAGCATAGAACCTTTCTTGACCAATACTCCCCCTCAAGCTTAGCCATCGAAGTTGTTTAGATTGCTAAGCTTGAAGACCCATGAGCATCACCTCATTAAAAACCTTAACAAGGAAAACCTCATGGGACAAAACCTTGTTAAGGGAAAAAGAGTGTGATGTCCATGGATCAAGGACTATGATCAAGGGCGACTAAGGTCCACAAGTCCTAGCTTGCTAAAGAGATTGTTGCAAACTTTAAGACTTGCAGCCTTAGTGAAAATATCAGCCAACTGGTCTTCACTTCTTGTGTAACACGGTAACACCACACCTTCCTCAATCTTCTCACGGACCTTGTGGCAATCTATTTCAATAGACTTTGTTCTCTCATGAAACACCGAGTTTGTTGCAATGTGTATAGCAGCTTGGTTATCACAATGCATTGTAATCGGACCTTCTTGCTCAATGCCAAGGTCTTTAAGGAGCGCCTTAAGCCAGGTTAATTCACTTGTAAGCTTCCTCATTGCCCTATATTCAGCTTCTGCGGTTGAGCATGAGACCACCTTTTGCTTCTTAGTCTTCCAGGTTACAAGATTTCCACCAATGAAAGTACAATACCCACTTGTTGACTTTCTATCAACACGATCACCAGCCCAATCTGAGTCGCAATATCCCACAATCTCTGTATTATTGTTCTTTCCCATCCAAATGCCTTGTCCTGGACTCCCTTTGAGGTATCTGAGAATTCTTTCCACCATACCCCAATGATACACTGTCGGAGCTTGCATATGTTGGCTTACTTGATTCACGGCGAAGCAGAGATCTGGCCTTGTGAGAGTGAGATAGATCAGTTTGCCAACAAGTCGTCGATACCTAAATACATCCTTGAAGGCTTCATCTGATTTCTCCCCCTTTCGATTGACTTTGTAGCCCTCTTCAAGCGGCGTTTTGGCTGGTTTAGCTCCAAGTTTTCCTGTCTCTTTGAGAAGATCAACTGTGTATTTCCTCTGAGACAGAAAGAGACCCTCAGGAGACCTACACACCT